CCATCGCTACAGGGTCCCGGCAAGAAAGAGCTGATTTCAGGGTGGATGGGTATTTGGTAAGTTGTTTAGAAGATTCTTTTGCATTGAAATGCTAGAAAGCTAATAAACCCGTAAATTTTCAGGGCCTTTGCCTGCTTCTTCCTGTCAGCGTTCACGTTTCTGACGTTTCCTTATCGAGACGGATCGATTCCAATACCCAGAGAGGCCAATTTTCATGTTGGTATTCTGCCAACTAATGGTTGCCGTTGGATTCATCATTCCGAGTGTCCGCTGGACATGAGCAGGTAAGCAGCCTTGATTCCACAGATAAGAACGGTCCTAGGGGTATGCGATACAGTTGGAGGTAGTTAGACAGATAGTGCCAATGAGGCGATAATTACAGCGAGGAGGAGGAGGGGAGGGGGTAGAAGAACTATAGTTGGGCTCTCTGAACAGACTAGATGAAATACGGTTTTCTGGAATATTCTGTATTCATGAAATTGGTCTCAGTTCTAGTATAACCCCCATGATGCTTCCTATTTAAGGTCGCTTGTGACGCTTACAAAATCAAAGGAATCGATGACGGCAACGGCAGTTTATGCTTTGTGGTGAGTACCCCTTGAGTTTCTTTATTTTAGTCCCATTTTGAAGATAATTTGGCGCAGTGCAATTCCAAGAATTTTGTCGTTTTGATGCACACGAGCATCAGGGTGCTCAATAATTATATCGCATTAAAATACTGTGCTTAGCTTTGGAATACGGAATGTTCTCGGGTCCGTGGTCCACGGGCAACTAAAACTCATTCCTTTGGCGCCAACTTTCTGTTTTTCTCTGCGCTCTCTTGCCTGAATGGCGCTTTGTGACCACTCTGACCTTTCACATTCCAACTTTTCACACATACTAGCCGAAATATAGGAGTGAATTTAAGAATTTCATAGACCATTAGATTCGTCATGGTCAGGGCGTCAGAGCTGTCCAGCGACCAAATAAGAAGAGCTGTGCCGAGTGGACCAAATAAGATTCCCTTTTCTCTGGGCTCTACGAAGTTACTGGGTTGCTTGCTGGCTCAATGCTATAAGAAGAGGGTAAGCGGCCTGGCAGGGATCACATCGTTCTTCTCAGTGCAGTCGAGTGATATCAGAACTACACTAGGCTCGTATTTCTTTGCGAATTCGGGTAAGCCGTTAACAGAAAGGGTAACCTTAAGCACTAATGGCGTAAACTTACGTCAGGAGGGATACTCATGATCTCGAGATAGAAACCCATTTACAGCAGGAGTAAAGGGGTCTCTGCTCCCCCAAATTGTTCTACTTATACCTAAGTAATCCTCTTGTTAAATAGTTAAAAAGTTAGGCTTTCTGAGGATACTGGGCTGACACTAACTGAGAATGCCATTTTCCAGGTTTTCCTGCTCACCTACTTCTTTGGAATGGCCGCATGTGTTTGGTGGATCATACTGTCACTATCGTGGGTGCTTGCTGCCGCCTCCAAATGGTCCAGTGAAGCGATTGCCAGTTATTCTGCTCATTTTCATGCAGTTGGTTGGCTTCTGCCAGCCGCTCAGACGATCGTCGTGCTGGTAAGTTCTGTTCTTCTGAAAAGGTATTGAATGCTTCGGACTTCCACAGTTTTGAAAATGCGCCATGTTCAGTATAAGGTTTCACTTGGAGTTGCCGTATAAGCCTGTGTTAATCCCTTTTCGTAACTCCACTTTAGAAAACCATTTAGCAGATTTGGAGGCTAAATTTGCAACCAGTGTTTGAAGTCGCATATGGGGGTGTAGATCTTATCTTGGATGGCCCCGGCGAATGAATATCTTTCCTTGTAAAAAGTTCAACATGGTTTCTACTACTCCCGGTGATTACAACGTCGCCGGCGGCCACAACCGGCTGGGATTGATGACTAGAGTCCATGTGCGCTTCAGAATGGCGTATGAGTTATGTTATTTATAAGGACAGAGGGAAAAAATTCCTCTCTCCATATCTGACCCAGTTTTGACAACTGCTCTAATTCGTGCTCAAACTTCGAGCTCGCTTTTTTTGCTGAGATAACCTTCCAGTGAGTAATGTATTTCCAGATTTTCAATGCCATTGACGGTGATCCAGTGTCGGGTATGTGTTACGTTGGTAACACTGATGTGAATCATCTTCGTATGTTCGTACTAGGTAAGGAACTTGTGCCCATAGAACTGCTACCTTCTTATCCTCTTCGCTGCAAAAGGGAGCGTGCTGCTGAAATTCACTGACCTGGCCGTAATTGTGCTTTTTCTAGGACCCCTTATCGTCTACTTCTCTCTCGGAGTGCTATTCCTCTTTGTCGGTTTCTTCAACCTTGTGGAGGATACGGA